TTGCCCTAGTTCAGATATGCCTCATTCGCTACCATAGGAATCTGCTGACTGTCTGCAGGCTATCCAAATCCTAGTTTGGCCTGGAAGACAGTGCTACGGTTCTTTCTCAGTCTGCTGCTCTAGGGGTATTTTATGATAAAACAAGATGAGCACATGGCAACCTCAAAAAACTGATGACACAGAAAAACTTGAAAGAACACAGGCAAAAGATGGAGAAAAACACAAAGAATTCAAAAAGAAAATAATTTCATTCAAAACAAAAGTGGTTTAATTTGCATTAAATATAACAACATGCAGCCTACAAATTCTCAGAAACACAACTTTAAAAGTGCAGTGTAACTATGGTAATTTTGAGAACAACAATCTTATCTTTTTATTAGCTATCTGACCAAGAGCATGCTGTAAGACAAGAAATGTCAGGCTGTGTAGAGATTCTGTATGTGCCTTTTGCAATACATTTGGGCTCTTTATCTAAAACTTTATTTAGGAACACTTCATTAAACCTAAATCAAGTTCTACAACTACTGAGAAGAAAACTGGTAGAATGAAGAACTCTCCTCTCCAGCTGGCCGAGTAGCAGGGTTACTGAGGGGCAGGCTTATCTTCTTCACCCCCTTCTAGCTGGTGAGGAAGCCAACTGTGAGAAGTTAACCGAATTGTCAGGAGAAATGAGAAAGAAGCGTTGCTGGATCTATGGGCAGGGACTAAGGTCTAGAGCCCTGGTTGCCTTGAAAGAAAATGAGGCAAATAAGTATAGAATATGTTAAAATTAGAAAATGACAGCAATAATCAAGACAATCTTAGTTAGTTCAAACAGCTTCTTAAATTTGAATAAGGAACATAGTTTTATTCTTTTAAAGTAAAACTTCATTTAAACATGTTTTCTTGATTCACTTTGATACATGATTTCATGTTTTGCTAGATTCCAACCCATCCCCCCACAAAGAAAAAAACTAAGAGAGGACTCCTAATACATGCCACTAGAATAGACACTACCAAAGCATCCTTAGCTGAAGAGAGGTGGGGACCCATGTGCAGTCTTTGTAAACCAATGACTGTTGACATTTTCTATAGGCAGATTGACTATATTTTATGTACTTTGAAAGAGCAGTACTATCTTTTTGTTTTTTACATTATGTAATTAATGGTTTTTGTTAATTTAGGTCAGTCTTCACTTTTTTCTTTTAAGAAACCATCCCACTAGTGGTTTGGGAAAAACCTATCACCCCTCACTTATGATTTTCCAGTTTTACAATGGTGTGAAAGTGATGCTCCTTCAGCAGAAAGCATTCTTGGAATTCTGAATTTGATCCTTTCCTGGGCTAGTGATAGGGGTCTACACTCTCCTGACAGTTTTTGGTCAGCACCAAGATTATGAAGGGACATGTCCGGCCCTCTGCAGAGCACTGTGTTGCTAAGCTGTGGTGTTTGGTAGAATTCACAGAATTTTCTGCTTGCAAGATTTTCATTTTACAATGGAATTTCCAAAATACCTCACTGTTCTGTGAAATCAGAACAGTGTTCATCCTACAGCCCCACTCAAAAAGGGTTTTTGCTCGAGTTCCACAAAGCCCCTGTGAAGACTTTCAACCACACCATAGGCTGGGGCGCCAAAACTCTGGCAATGGTGTAGCCAGGGCTGTGATTTGCTGCTTATTTTATGAAAAGCTTTTGTCTATGTAGGTGAGCGTGGCTTATTTCTAACAGCAGTTCTAGATGCTTCTTACTTAACTCTATTTTGTAAAGTGCTGAGAATACAAATTCCATAACTATAAAGAACTATTTCTCAACAGCTACCTTAAAACTAGTAGACTTTGCAAACTAATGGTTTACATACCTTAAACTGGATCTTCTGAAGAGCTATCTACCTCAAGGACAGCATTTTCTTCCTAGGCACGAAAGGTTTTAAAATTATGTAAGATCTTAAAGTCTCTCTCTACTTCATCAGTCTCAACCAGGGATTCTCAACCTTTGTGAAGTGATTAGCCATTTACAAACCATTCAGGGATCTCTCACTGTTGTCTCTAAAGGCCTACTTTCCAGTCCATTTGTCTAATTATGGCCTATGCTGAAGCTGCCCAGTGGGAAAGGGCAGGGAGCAGGACCACCTGGGACCTGAACATGCGGTCAGTTCACATGGCCCACCCAAGCCCACCCACCTCAGCCCCACCCCATGCAGAAAGGTGCCCCACTTGCCGCTTCCCTCCTGCCCAGTTGCTAGCGGAAGCTCCTGAGAAGGGGGGAAATAAAGGAGCCTGGCTGTCCATCTTCCTTTCTACCTATTTCCTCAAGGTCATCCACCTACAAGATAAGGGAAGCAGTTTCTTCCCATTCTCTTTCTGGTAGTTCAAGTGACTCACACAAGAGGTAAGCCAGGAATTCAGGGATTTTTAAACCCTGAGAACTTCTAAAGAGGCTGAGAATTCCTGGTATAACCAAAAATTATGTGATCTTAAAAGCTTTAAATTTAGTACTTCACCCAGAAGAAAATAATGATTTAATTTCATTAAAAAATTTCTAACGATTAGTCATAAAAAATCATGATCACATATATTTTATTTCAGTACAACATGCAAATGATCTAGAGTTCTCACCTTGAGAATTTTAGCTAAAATTACTTAGCTAGGCAATTAAAATTATTCTGACCATTATATAAATAAAACTCATGTAAGCAAATACCACATGAACACAAATTTTCCTTTCAGTATTGAAAGTGTTGGTTCAGCTTCATAAATGCTTAAATTTCCCAGTATAGAACTGATCCTTAATTGTCCAGCACTGTGAGTTGCCTCAATTGAAAAATACCAACAGCTACTTCTCACTCCTGGGCTTCTCCAAGATAGCCCTCCAAAAGCCACGGTGAGAGAATCTGGCTTAATATGATGCCACAATAACAGATATATGTTGTGGTTTAAAGTGTGGCTTTTATGAACAAAATGGGCCATAAAATATAATACTCTAAATGAGGCAGAATCTAAAGGATTAGCAGGATTCAGGCCCAGTTTTGTTATCAGTTTCCATCCATCTTAAAGCAGACTTTGCATATGTGTGAATCAGACTGAGCTGAGTATCTATTTATAAAATATAGATATACATACTGACATACAGATTAAGAGATAATGGTGACTCAACAGCACAGCTGGTTTGTCAATTTCTGCATCAGTAGAAAAGGAGACTTATCGAGAATATTCATGTAATAAATTGACATTCTCCAGGGTTCTGGATCACCTGCCTCATGTAGCTACAGAACTGCACTTCACAGTGCCACAGTACCATGGAACCTCCAGCTCTTCACACTACTGCTAAAAGCAAGCACCGGTAGGCACCGAGACTTCTGAGCCAAGTTCTCACAGAAAGACCAGTGGGGACAGTTTGGAACACTTCTGCCACCTCTATGGTCTAAAAGTCTTTACAAACTATACACATGTGACAAAACAAACACACAAATTATTCTGCTTTTAGTCACAATGTGAATCATCGTTACTGTAGTGAATAAAAATCCACGAGTCAGAATAGCATGCAATGTTTTTATTGTTTTCTAAATCTATTTGTACACTTAGTACTCCAGTATTAATTTTACAAACAGCGTAAAGAATGAACTCCTCAAAGACAGTAACCTGCAACTACTCACCTGAAAAGGAACAAAACTCTGCCTCTGAAATATTTACTAATTACATAATATTGCAAGCCAATAAATACTATAAATATTAAAATGGTAACACTTCAATATAAGGTAGGGTCAGTAACAACCCTACCACTTTTAATGCTTAAAACATACGATAAAGATCATGCAAAATACTTTCATACTCAATTATACTCAAACAAGGCAGTGAGACACAAAAGAACAACTATCCAGCGCAATGAGGGATCAAATAAATAAGCAGCATATTAATGAAAATCCAGTAAGTGATTAACATCATACACATAACACTGAATCTAGGTGATCACTCATCTATGATCTGACCTGTGACACAGGATATACTGCCAGAATTAACTACATAGTAAGCTATGCTCGTGACAAAAAATTTCAATGCAAGATGACAGGATACCTTTCTAGTCTACAAATACTTAAATGTGATCACTCTGTTAACTCCATCAACAATATGGAAACTATCAGGTTTCACGGTCACACCAGTTTTTATATTTTTACTTGTGTTTTGTTTCATGCTTTTGAACTTTTTTAAAATGCACTTCCTTTTTAATAATCTCCCCCAGATTTAACATGCTGATTTAGGAACAGATGCAGCAGACAAACTCTGCCCTAGTAGAGAAAACAGTGCTTTAGTTCTACCTAATTAAGTATTTGTCATCTGTCAAGTATCAATTGTCATCACTTCCTCATGCATTCATTCCATACATGTTTATAAGCACCTATTACTACCCCTATCTGCCTGATTCTCCAGAGGAAGACTTCATGTTTGGGGCTGGGGACGTAGCTCACTGGTAGAGCACTTGCCTAGCATTCATGTGGTCCTGGGTTGGATCCTAACACCACAATAAACAAAAATTCAAAACATAAATAAATCATGTATTTTCTTCTCTCTCTCTCATTGTAAGCTCACTAAGAAAAGTTGGGCACACAATTTAAGAGTTTCAGACAGACCAATGTGACTTGGAGGGTACACACGGTTAGACTGTGCTGGAAGGCAGAGCTGGGTTTGGAAAGGAAAGCATGGAGTTAACAGGAGCTACTGGTCCTCCCCAACCTCCTCCCCTAATACCTCATAATGGCCCAGTCACACTACTGGGTGCTACTGACTTTCATAGGAAGTTTTAAAGCCCTCTTCAGTATAGATTTTCTACTTACAACCTCTTTAATGAGCAATTTGTGTTATAGAACAGTCTTTGCCAATTTACTAAGCATTCACCTTTGCTCTCTGGGCTACTTCAAAATTGCAAATGAGTAACTCTATCTCCTTCCCTTTTTTTTTTTTTTTTGTGGTGCTGGAATTTAACTCAGGGTCTCATGCTTGTTAGTGAGCTAAGTCTCCAGCCCTTTTGGCTTTAGGTTATTTTTCAGATAGGGTCTAGCTCTCTGCCTGGGTCAGCCTCAGATCTCAATCCTCCTGGTCTCCGCCTCCCAAGCAGCTGGGATTAGGGGGTTGTGAGCCATAGCACCCAGCTGAAAACCAGTAAATTCTTTTGATTTCCATTTGTATTACGATATATTCCTTGTACAGGGGGGACTCACTATGACAATTCTTGAGTACTCTTACATTGTACATTACTTAGATTGCCCCCACCATCTCCCTCCACCTTCCACAAGCCCCTCTCTGCCCCACTTAAAGAAACTACAGCAGGCAAAACCTGTCAATTTTCATTTAAACAATTTATGACCAAAATTTGCTTCTGTTTCATCTAACATCACGTCTTCCCTCAAATGTCTGATGAATGTTTGTTTTGCAAATTAGGCCCTTTAGACTGTTTCTGATCTATGTTTATACTCCGATTGTGTCACAAACATTTTTTGGATTTATGTGCCAATGAAAAGCATAGTAATAGTAGTGAGATTTGAAGATGATAATTACAAGCACAATGCAGGCTGGCTGGGGAACCATCACTTCTAGGCTTTCCTCTGTGTATAGCATTCTCTGTTAACTACCTATGAATGAAATGTATGAAGGTGATGGAAGAATCTGAAATTCAAGACAATCTTGTCATAAGGGAATACTACTACTCTTCCACTCCTGCTTGTTTATCTTACAGAATGCTTTCTCTTTCTTCTCCAAAACCTGTACTATCAGGAGAGGCTGCCGCATGGAGCTCTGAAGCATCTTTAGAAAGCCTTGTGTAACTTGAGCGCTGGCTTCGCTTATGCGTCATGCTTTTTAGATTTTCATTCTGAATAGCAGTGGGGTTGGGAGTAGACCCAGACCTCAACATGACCTGAGAAGTCTCCCTAACTCCCTCCATTTCATCAAAATTTTGATTGGCTCGATTAGCCGGGGCAGTGTTGTTGTTCAGAGTCACAGTACTGGGTGTTCGGTTCAGATTGTAGGCCTTCTGGCACGTAGGCCAGCTTTCTTCAGGGCTGCTGGCTATCAGACTGCATTCAGAAGGGCTTTTCTTGTCTTCTGAGCAAATGGACATGCGGGTTATAATTGGATCTTGCAGGCCGCTCAGGCTGTGGGGCATTCCCCGCTTCCCACTGTGGCTGTCGTCTTCCAGCTCGATGAGATTCGCCTTTTCCAGCTGCAAATCATCAGCAGCTTCATTGTGAAGAGAGTGATTAGGAGAACTTTCGTTGGATCTCACTCCTGAATCTGATGAATCCTTTTTGTCAAGGAGAGCATCTGATAAATACTCTTTTGCTTTAATGAATGTTCTAATAGGCTCGGCACTGTGTTCTGGAGACTTTGACCCTCTCTCTGCTTTGCCTTCAGCTTTTTTATCTTTATCATCTTTGAGCAGTGGAGTATTATCTGACTCCTCTGTACCAGATTCATCTTCATCACTTGGAAGTTTTTGATAGCGCAGTCCACCTCCCTTAAGCTTCAGATCTGTCTGGAAGAGACTGGACCTTTCTGAGGATTTCTTGCCTGGGAGCAGCTTACTGCCTGACTGATCCGACTTTTCGTCTTCTTCAGTAATAGGGTCCAGGGGTGAGGCATCGTTAGTGGAAACCCCTGATGATGAGTAATCGATGACATCCCCCCTCTTCATTAGGAATGACTTCCGCCCATCGTCTTGCTTTGGCTCGCTATCCTTTCCCTTTTCTTGTTCTACATTAGAGTGAATAGAGCCCCCTGATGAACTCTGACCCAAATAATAGGTGCTATGTGGAGAAGATCTGCCACTGATCGTGGTAGACCCTGTGCCCCCTTCTAATTGGGACATCTGAGCAATATACTCTCTATAGGCATCTCTATATTCGGCCTGCACCTTATCAGTAAGCTTTGAAATTTCAATACTGGAATCCTGGGAATTGAGACTCGAAAGACTTGGGGTTCTGCGGGTTTGTGACTGTGAAGACAGAAAAAAAGATTTAAGCATTCAAATAAGCAAAAAAAAAAAGAAAAAAGACAAATATATATGCACACTGACAATTTTAAAATTCATCAAAATACCAAGTTCTTTGAACAGCATTTTACCTGCCACAATTTAACAAAAGCTGTGAACCTGTCAATTCTGCTGTTATTAGAAAGATTTATAAAATTTTAACAGAATTAATTTATTGTTAATATTTAAAAGTACAGTTACAAAATGTATTAAATAATCTTAGCAATGTTTTCCCTCAAGCTTTTAAATTTTATTTCAGGTAAAGTCACCTTCATTGATGAAAATTCTACATGGGTGGTGAGTATAATCCAAGTATATTATATGTACATTTGGAAATATCACAATGAAATCCCTTCTACAATTGATATACACTAATAAAAAAGAAAATATTCCTCTAGGAGGAGGGCAAGAAGAGAGTTATGATGAATCTCAAAAACAGAACACTCAAGTCTTCAATGTGCCTCAACATATACAATACAAACTGCCTGTCAAATATCAATTAAGAGGAAGAAAATGTACTTAAAATGTCAAGAAGACCAAAACAACAGCAAAAAAGACCTTTTAAAGGAATAGAGGGTAATAGAAAAGATAAACAAAGGTTTCCAGTGAACAGTATTAGAAGCCATGAGGCCAGTAGCTGGGTCACAGTAAAGAGAAAAATGAAGTATTTCTAAAAGTTTGACTTCCAACTTTAAGCTTTAGATCCTAGAAGTGAGGAATAAAAAGTGCAGATTAGGAGAAAGAAGGGGGAGGGGTAGAAGAAAAAGTATCCAGAGAGCTTAAGAAGGGGTCAGCGCTAAAGCCCAAATAAACATGAAGAAGCAAGGCAGTCTTCTCTTTGGAAGGAGAGTGGTCCACCTCCTTGAGAAGGAACTCTAGGATGCGGTCAGACTAGAAGGTCAGTGCAACCCTCCAACCATTAACACAGCTGTTCTCAGAGGCAGTGTGCGCACCCCTGTGCAGGGGATCCTCAAGGTTGAGTGTGCGTTCCTAGAACACCATGATGGTATCTGCCTTTCAACCCTCATCCACACAAGACTGCACCACGGAGTTCCCAGGGCCACATGCGTGTGATGTCACACCAGATGAAGGCAGCAGCACATGGAGACCCAGTCATTTTCTATGGAGGGCCTTAAGAGATGTGCAAAACAAGCCCATATTCATGAAATTCTATTTTGTTTAGGGAAAGATGGGCATTTTTCATAAAAATGCTATTTATATCAACATGTAATTAGTTTATTTTAAAATAAATGAATAAATATTTAGAAAAAATTTCAGTTTATATTTCCAATACAGTAAGTAGCTACAGAAAATCTTACACGAGCAAAAGTTCTTTGGGGTTCTTAATAATTTTTAAAACTGCGAAGCAGTGCTAAGACTAAAGAACAGCTTAAGAACTGCCACGCTAACAGGAAGGCTCTGGATTTCTGTTCATGGACGGAAGCACACAGTACAGTAGAGCCAAGAACAAGTTCTTATGGAAGCTCAAATGGAACCCTAGGGTACAAAAGAACTATTGTTGAAAACCAAGGGATCAGTTGTGGACTCAGCTATTGTAGAATAAGTCATTCTTATCTAAGTCATCAATATTTACTAATAAAATAGTTTCTTGCTGTAAAAAATAAGTCAGTGTGGAGGAAGAGGAAACAATACTTTTACTACAAACCAAACGCCTTAGGAATGTCACCAGCAATTCCTAAGCATGGCTCCCCTTTAGAGCGCAGCCTCTTTCCTTGTAGTTTACTTACCATTTTATCCCCACACTAGTGCTGTCTCCTGTTTTTTTCCTAGCTTAGTTTCTTCTTATTCCCATCTTACTCCGTCTCACCTGTCTCTCACTTGTGTTTCTGCTCCTGTTGCTCCCTTCTCCTCCCTCTTCTCAGAATATCCCAAGGGATATCTTGCCCATCCAGAAGCAGATAACAAAAGGTAACACCCATAATGAGCACTATGTGATAACCAGGCACAGTGGTGAGAGCCTGTGTTCCCATAACTCAGGAGACTGAGGCAGGAGAAGCGCTTGAGCCCAGGAGTTCAAGGCCAGCCTGGGCAACATAACAAGACACTGTTTCAAGACACAAAAAAGAATGCGTGTGAGCACACATATATATGAGAGACAGAAAGAGATGGGGGAGGGGATAGAGAGAGGAAAAAAAAACCAAACTGGAAAACCAAACTGTGGGACTTAAAGGGTAACATGGGGCTAGTTTTCCAAAAAAAATGTATTTTAGTCAATGGTTACTGAATAAGAACAAGAGAAAGGCAGTATTTGCAACCACCATGACTAACTCGGCCCAGTTCCTACTTGTTCTCCACGCCATTGTGTGATGTTACTGTTTTCACTGTTCTTATTCATTTCTGAATAACCTTTTCTCCTATATTTTACTGCCTGTCCCTCTCCAGTTGAACACCACTTCTTGAGTATATGGAATCCTCCATCTTACCCAGTTGTGTTTCTTTAATGACTATATTAATGCACCAACATATTCTCAAGTGAATTAATAACTTCCCCTATTCTCCACTAATAGGAAAAATGGCATTTAATAAATACCTGCCAACTCAGATTACTGTGACGTGGGGCACCTTCATCTAGGCCAAGTGTATTCAGTTCTTCAAAGCTGAAGTTCAATGTGTAGGGAGTTTGATTGGAAAGCTCGGTATGAGGCAATTCATTGTGCGAAGAACGACGAGTAGATTCCCCATGAGGAACTGCGGTGCTGGTGTTCTCATTCAGAAAACGTGGGTCTTCGGGAACCACCTGGTTTTCTGCATTTCTCATCTCTAGTACCTTAGCAGAAGAAAAAATATCGTATCTACAGTGCATAATCACATGTTAGAAGCTTTAGAGGTTTTTAACAATAAATCATTATAAAGTTATAATGACAATGAGAAAGCATACTTTCTGCAATGAATTTCTAATGAATTTGTACTGTATCTTCCTACCTTTAATTTTAATTGATAACACTGAAAGAATAGCAGAAATCATTGTCTACAGTGCTCTAGTATGTCCATTGGATTGTTACTTTAGTGCAGACTTCAATATATAACAGGCTCAACTCCAACTATAGCAAGGGCAAATGGGAATTTACAGCCGAGGAGGAAGGTCAGATGTCACTGGTAAGGGGGATTCTGGCTAAGTCAATTGACAGGATTCTTAAGAGACAGGACAGGGTGATCAGATATCATCTGGGAGGTGGATGGTGCATAATGAGGCATTTGATCAGATATCAAGAGTGATCACGTGTGGAGGGTGGGAGTTCTTGCTAAACTTACTTAATAGGATTCTTGCTAATACAAAGCAAGGTAGGCCTGATAAGGACAGATGCCTAAGGTTGAGGCCTGCAGAGCTGGAGGGGTCTGACAGAAGTTAGGTCAAGGAGTCTTTGTCAAGTGGAAGCATGGAAAATTGGCGAGTGGCTTCTTCCTCAGATTTCTAGTGAAAGGCTCAAAAAGGCAATGGTCGCTAAGTACTGCTGTGTACACGCTCCACTTCATAGGGCCGTCCCCAACTGTAAACTTCAATTAAAAAATCTAATATGAAAAATATCACTTAAGGCCAGTACTTACTGGTTCTGGATTGGTACAATACTGTAAACAATTTTGTTATAGTAAAGTAATATTATAAATTCTATAGTAAGGTTAGAAATCTCTTACTGTGCTTCTGAAAAGATGCCAGTCTCCAAAATTCATGTTCATCTCTTTCTTCAGTTCATCAATGTTACATTGTGCTAACACCCGCCCATTTATGTTTGCCTGAGCAAAAATAAAAACAAGTGCAAAGACAAACAAAATTAAAATACTCTGAACTACTGGGGATTAAAAAGTACACTTCTATTTAGTTTTAAGAAAGGTTGACCTCAAAGAGGTTATCATCCCATGTGTACTAACAAACAAGCTGAATTTCAACATATAGGCCACTTTCTATTTTTCCAAGTGCTAAGCATTCAAGCAAAATAAACCAGTCTTCAAGGACCAACCCACATGCTAACCCTCCTATTTCAAATACCACCTACCTGATCACCGGCAGTAAGAAAACTCTGTTTTTCTTTTGTAATCTTAGAAAATATTAACATGAACAAAAGCTGCTGGAAGAGGACAATGAAATCTGTCCTTATGACTGTGCTGATTGATGGCTGACAAAGTTCTAAATGAAGTGCGTCTAACAAACTACTTCATCAGTTATAGTAGATAACTTCAGCAGTAAGAATGGCCAGAGCTACTAACATCTCAGTCTGCTAAATGCCCAAAAAAGGTCTTACCGCTTTTTTCTCTTTCTAATTCTATTTTCCCTCAAATAAGAAACAGCAGCATGTTCTTTATTAGTCACAGGTAACTCATGGATTTTTATGAAACATAAAGCCTGATTTTATTAACTGCTAAAATTAAGGAATAGCTATGCTTAAAACTGGCAGGATGTTCGTTTCCATGTTAATTCTGAAGGAAAAAGCACACACAGCCCATCTGTGGCAGTGGTCCTGCTGTAACAATGCCACGAGTTTGCAGCATAGACCCTGGGCATTATGACAGGTTTCAAAACCAGACTGGAGGGTAAACAGCAGAGGGAAGAAGAAAACCATTGTACTAATGGGAATGAAATCACAGAAAGAGGCTGGAGTTAAAGACCTTGCTATCTTGGCATTGACCAGCTGCCTGGAGGAGATTCAGGTTTGGACACGGGAAAGGCGGTACTGACTCGTATAGATAGGGATGAGCACAAACCAGCTCTGGAAGAAAGTAGTCATTATCTGAAACTCTTCTGACTAAATGTGGGCTAAGATTAGTAAAGTGATGTGTACAAATGCTCATAATTCTTCAAAAATTTGCTCTTCGACTTTAACACTGTGATGGTGTAAAAGCGTAATTTAGTGGGAAAATCGACCGGATTGACGTGGCTTGGTGATCCTCACACAACAGTCTTCCCTTCAATGCCAGCACCTATGGTCCACATTCGGGGCAGGTAACAGAGCTGCCAGAAGCTGATTTCAGAAGAAATAAACTCCTGCAAATGCATTAGCCTTTCAAACATATGTGGTTTCTTCAATTGGGACACGATCACAAATCTTTTATGACAGAAAACTGAGAATGTGTGGGAAATGAAGCGACTGAGGCTTACTTTGATAATTATGAAACCATACAAATATATATTACAGACTGAACACCCTCAACACAAATGCTTCAACCAAAAGTAATTCAGATTCCACAGCTCTTCTGATTTTGGCATTCTGACATGCTCCTTGCCAGTCAAGAATCCTTAATCCAAAAATATGAAATCTGAAACTTATATTGGTCTCCAAGCCTCAAGAAGTTTTGTATTTTCAGATTAGGGATGCTCAACGTGAACTGCAGAAAATGGACCACAGAAAAAAGGACCTGCGAGCATTCTTTCCACAACAGAAAGAAGAATTAAGTATCTAAACGTGAAATTCCCTACAGCTTTATATTTCAAGGCTTTTTTTTTTTTTTACTTATATTAGGTCATTTTTAAAAAGCAGCATTGTAATTCTGCTCAATTATTCTGTGATTCACTTACAAGATGAGATAAAATAGCCATGCCAGGATATAAAATACTAAGATTCCTGTACTGCACTGGAGCTTTCTCACGTCAGCAGACCCGCCCCGTTGGAGCAGCTCATCAGAAAGGCGCCCTGTAGGACTCCCATCTGTCCTCTGTACCTCAGTCCCGTCTCTAGGCAGCTCGTAAATGTGGGCATCACCTTTTTGATTGTTGCACAATACTGAGGCACCATGCTCTGGTCCAGCCCTTCTATGTGTCTCAGTTTCTCACACACAGCATCCACAGTCATTGAATTCAGTGACAGAAGCATTCCTGTGGCAGGGCCTGATCCCTAGGTAAGTCAAGGGAAAACACATGTATAAATAGCATGTAATGCCCGATATATGAGGTCATGTGACAAAAAAATTCATTAAGTTATACTATTGAAATAAATACAATCAAAGCATGTGCATGGTAAGGAAACACCATTAAAGAGTAGATTTAGCTATTGTTTGAGTAGCTTTTATTACAGCAGAGACAACCTAATCAAAATCACTTTTCAGAAGACAGACATTCCGTGAACAAGGCCTTGGCCAAGTTCTCAAATGTCTACAGCCTAACCTCAATATTGAAGGCTGTGGCCTTCAATAAAGAGAAAGAAGAGAGGCTAAAAAACAAAAACAAAGACAAAAAAAATCATTGATGCTATATTATAGGAATGCAAAATATATTGAATAATTGAATGTGCCTATATTAAACAAATAAACAGCTTTAACTGTTTCTACAAAGTAAATTAATAGTCTATTAACAGCTGAAGTTTTTAGCTTTCAATCACATCTATAACCAAAGGATCTAAAACCTTCTCTTTAGAATCTGTACATCAATCATGAAATCTAAACACGTGAAAGTAAATATAATTTATAAAATTTGCTCACATTTAAAAACAAAAGTCAAAATAAGAAATAAATCTAGCCCTTATTTCAAAGAAACACTTTTTTTTTGATGTAGTGAAAGCAGCAGTTGCCTATGCTCAACTCTAAATGATTTTCCTCAATTACCGAAGCACACATGAAAGCCTCCAGAGGTTGAGTGAGGCTCTGTCACTGAATAAAGAGCTGGGTAGTGTAGATTTGGACCAGAACCCTAACAGGTGAGTTCTTATGTAAAGTTCCTACTTCCTTTTCACCTATTCTTTACTTTTAAAGAGGCTGTGGAATCTATAACCATAATAAAGAGGAGGCAAAGCAACTGAAGGGATGATGAGACTGTGAGGATGTACGATACAGAGAATAGACAATGTCTGTTTGGTCTTAAAACTAACTGACAAATCACAAAAAAGGTTTATCATATCTTCAGGGTATGTACATTTATCACTGTAAGGATAAAAGTAACTATCACATAGTCAAAAATTCCTCATTAAACACTTTTGCCATATGAAAGCATAATATTGTTACTACTAACTGATAAATATACACACATGCACTGTATGTACTTAGTACAGGCGGATGTTACATAAGAGTGTAAGTATAGCCAGGAAATGACACTATATAGAACAGAGAGTGGGAGTAGTAAATTTATGAGTTAGGGAGTCTTAGCAAGTTTACAAGTATGATCTAGGCCCATGAAACTGTAGAAATTAATGAGCTGGATGGAATGTATTGCACCGAATCATTTATTTATAGTTTCTTTTCAATTAAATATAAAATGTGCTACATCTTATGTGCTCTGGGGTTCAGTTGCTTTAAAATTACAAACAAAACACTAGTCATAGTTTAGTTTTTGTATCTTTACACACAGTTCTACTTTCTGCCTGGATGAGCATAGTCAATAATCAAAGTGTTACTTATCTACTATCTACTATGGAAAAGCTTTCTATGAATATTTTAATACAATACTCATTTTTATTTTTTTGTTTTTCTTTTTTAAGCAGCTTCACTGAGATGTAATTCACATAGCCCATGAATCCCACAATTAAAGTGCACAATTCAATGGCTTTTTTGTGTCTGCGGCAGTGCTTGGGTTTGAACCTCGGCCCTATACTGGCTAGGCAGGTGCTCTACCATGTGGGCCATGCTCCAGCCCTCACTGCTTTAGCTAGTTTTCAAACAGGATCTCGCATTTATACCTGGGCCAGACTGGACTGGACCCTTCTATTTATGCTTCCCATGTAGCTGGGATAGCAGGTATGTGCCACCATGCCCAGCTTTTATTGGTTGATATGGAGTCTCTCAAACTTATGCCTGGGCTGGCCTGGAACCACAATCCTCCTGATCTCTGCATCCCTAGTAATTATGTTTACAAGCGTAAGCCGCTGTGCGCAGCTCAATGAGTTCTAAGTTATTTACGCAGTTGTGACCACCACCACAATCAATTTCAGAACATTTTATCACCTCCAGAAGAAATCCCTGTATCCATTAGCAGTCATTCCCCATCCCTCCAACCCCTGCCCCTAGCCTGACAACCAATGAACTACTTTCTGTCTCTAGAATTTAAAACGTCTAGTCTAGATGTTTCATATAAATGAAATCATACGGTATGTGACCTTTTGGGTCTGACTTTTACTTAGCATGATGTTTCCAAGGTTCATCCATGTTACAATGTGCCAGATACTTTATTCTTTTTATTGCTGAGTAATATTGATCTTCTAAATAATCTTTAATTCTTTCAAAGCTTTTATTTCTCCACCTATCTCTTTGCTCTTGACTTGCTTATATAGACTTAGACTTACATTTCTTTTGGACCAAGGTCACAAAGACAGTTGGATAAATTATGTTTATGCCAGATTACAGATTACTGATAAAATACATATCTATGAGTCTGATACTGACACAATTACACACTTGAGTAAGTAAATGACTAGGAGGATGAGGCAGCTTACAGGATTCCAATAGTCAATGTGGAGGGGCAAAATGGAAAATTACCATAGGGAAAATATCACACTAATTGTGATTGTAGTCAAGATCATGGATGGATGCTAAAATGGATGGGCAAAAGAATCGGCAGGAATATAGCTTCAAAGAGTCTCTACCAAGATATTTATTTATTAGCAATTAATAAAGCTCATGAAAGATGAGGAAAGACTGAGGAGCGGTCACAGATCAGAGAACATCAAGAAGAAACACAAACTGACCTGGATTGGATCCTGGACCAGAAAGATGGCACTAGCGGGAAAAGCTAGTAAACTCAATGAACTGTGATTTATAAACAAATTTAATTTCTGCTTTTGATTATTGCATAATCTAATGTTAACAAAAGATGTTAACATTAAGAGAATATCATTTGCACCATTTCTTCCTAAAATTTTTGAAATAAAAGTTCTTTTTAAAAAATCACAAAAGAGTGGGCTGGGGATGTAGCTCAGTAGTAGAGCTTGTGCTTAGCATGCATGAGTCCCTGGGTCCAATTCTTCCACCACAAAAAAGAAAATTAAAAACTCAAAAAGTTTAAAATCCCCAAGAACTCTATTTCTGATTGTGTCACAAAAGACAAGTATAATAGACATGGACGTATTCACTCTGCCAACTAGTGTAAACTAAAGAGTATTTATTTTTCATATAGAATATGAAAACTCAGCAAGAGACATGTTAAGAAAGTAATACCCTCTTCCTGTAAAGCAAATATTTCAAAGAATGTTACTTTGTGATCCTTTAAAACTTTTACTTTATCTGTTACTTTAAAGCTTATTTTCTCCCTCAATGGGGATTATGCAGTGGTTGGTGTTGTGCGCACGTGCGTGTGTTATGCTATAAGCTGGCCTGGGCAAAAAGAGGAGACCCCATCCAAAATTAACTGAAGGCATAAAGGGCTGGGGGACATGACTCCAGTGGTCGAGTAGCCTGGCCTAGGAAGCAGGGAGACGAGATAAAAAACCCCTATTCTACGCTCCCTCCAAAGAACTACTTCAAAACCAAATGAATCTTACAGCTAAAATAATGGATTTTTGATTGGAAATCTCACACTGCAGATTAAAACTTCATTTCTGAAAAAGAGTTCTCTGTGGAAAACACTGAAAAGCTCTAATATTAGAAAAGCTCTAATATTCTCAGAGCACATCTTGGATCTAATATTTTTCAATTTTTTGTAGGATTTGGCCTTTGTGGCAAAAAGTAGCATCGGTGGTTTATAACTGAAATCCTCTGCTTTGTGAACCAGTTTGGGTACAATTCATCTAATAACTCCTTGGCTGGAATTCACAAACTATAATCCCTATAATGGTAATGGGAGAAAGTATAATTATTTTCATAAAGTTCAGCTTTACAAAGGCTTATCAGAAATTCCCCATGGTAAAAAAGGGCAGGCTCACCTATATTTTGTAAAAACCGTAGCTCGCTCACCCTTCCTGGTCTTTTTCCTCCACATATCTGCAATGACATGAGTTTGTCCAGAAATGCTTGTGCAAGCAAACTTATCTGTAAGCTGTCTCTCTCATCAAGAATGTGTGTAGGGGACAGCTGACAAGCATACGTGGAGTCAGTCATCACTACTGTTGTTCCAGACTAGACTAGAAAGCCACAGGAGCAGAAAGGGCTACAGGATTTTTATAAGGCCAGACTGGGCCAATTCCCACATATGTATTCTCACATTTCCACCACTTTCAATCTGGCTTTGAACTACACATCTACGTACTTTTACTAGTCTTGTACAAAACACATTTATATGCTCTTGTTATTGCTAATTTCTTAAAAGGAAATGACACTAGATAAGCATCTGTTATTTACTACACCAATTATAAGCTATCTTTTAGTCTTCAAAGAACAACAAATACTATGGTTGTTTTACTAAACAAGGGCAGTAATATAGGCGGAGTACCTTCATCCCTTGTCATAGGTTTTCTAAACACATCTCAGGAATTGCATTACTTCCTCCTTCCACAAAAAGACTCATTTTGAAATTTGCTAATGCTCTCCCCTTCCATGGTCCCTGAAGAAATACTACTGGACACCTTTTAACTTTTTAAATTTATTTACTTTTTGATTCTTTGAGACAAGATCTCACTATATAGTCAGGCTGGCCTGGATCTTACTATACAGCCCGGGCTGGCCTTGATCTCACAATCCTCCTACCTCAGCCCTCCTGAGTGCTGGGATTTCACTTGTGCACCACCATGCTTGGCTCTCAGGTACCTTTTAATTACAATTGTTTGTGTACATATTTGAGCATGGAATAACTATAGCTATTGTTTCAGCACTTCTGTGTCATTAAGGCCATCAAATTCTTCACAGGATCTGGTTTTCATTTAAAAAAATTTGATAAGGACTTTTAGATCAGAGAATTGCACTGCATGCATGAATGTCTGTATTAAAGGCTCTTACTAAACTAAAAGTCAATCTTGCATACAGTGGTGATGATCCATGGGTTGACGATTTCCTAAGCACCAACCAGAATGACTGTGGTCTACTATGTCTACCATTTGCAGATAACTGAAGTCACACAAACACTTCGCCAAAATGTTAATAGCTTAAGAACCATCAACTGCTCAAGAAAAATAACAAAATGGCTCTCTTTTCCTCTCTTACTAACATGAACTCAAAGTAAATTAAAGTTAAAAGAAACTACTGCCTACCCAAATGCATGTTTTAAGTTAAAACTAGTGAATAAACTTAGGAAGCAATAATTCACTCACAACTCTAACTACTATGCCACATTTCAGCGTAGTTGTAGATGAAACCGATCACATTTACAGGGGAGTGTGCATTCTGTATACAAAACAACAATAGTTGAAACACAAACTCTGTTCTTCAATTTCACACTGATTGACTAATTTAAGGCTCATCACAACCATTTCTTATTAACTATGAGTCTTGAAAGTCATTATACAAGTGACTTCCTCTATGGCTTGTTTGTTTTAAAGAAACCTACCTTAAGGTGTTGAGGGGAAAAAGGTTTAAACAACTTCCTTTACATGCTGAACTAGCTCAAATGTTTATCTTAATAAACAAAGATACACAAGTAGGACTGTGTGAAGACTTGCACTAAGACTTCACTAAATGCAGATACTTAGTTTAAGAATGAGTTACTAAAGATGCATTTGGGCTATACCATCTAGCTCATGTCTTTCTGCAGTCTCAAAGGTGACTCTGGATCCTTTCAAAACTGCTCCACGTGTGTAGTACCAACTACAGGCTTTACAACAAACAGTCAAAGGTGAAAACAGAGCTCAGCACTAAGGAACAAATATCAACTGAGTACTCCCAAAGACTAGTGCAGACAGACCTTCCTTACGACAGAATAAGAGACCCCATCCCATGCCACTGGAAAGGGGAAAACAGGAGGAAGTAAAGGTGTAGTACACACTCGTGAGCTGAAGTGATTAATACCTGCTTACTCAACGCTAGCTGCTCATCCCCAAGTGCAGAGTTAGTGAACTGCCATGGCAATTAAGACGGTCGTTACTGCTGCAGAAGCAGGGAGAAGCCAGCGCTGCACACTACGAGATGACTCCATTACCCTGCAGGAGTCTGTGGGTGAAGGAAGCCCCTCAGCATCCTCCTCCTTGATAACTTCCTACCAACATAAACAGGACAGCGCGGGAGTGAGGTGCAGGGAGAGCAAGACACGGACAGGACTGATGAAGATGTAAACTCACAGTGCAGATAACAGAACTACTGGGGTTAGATTCTTCCCGTCACAGCATTTTAAAACTTAATTACAATTACATTGCAGGAGCTCTTTTTAATTGTTACCGTAAGTTTCTCATCAGGAACCATTAATATATTGGGCACAAATGTGTTTCTCTTTGGAGTAATTAATTAAATGATTTCTTCTTATCCTGTTTAACTGGTGCCATTAAACTGAAAATTTTTTTAACTAAATCTTTTCGTCTTCATTGAGACAGGACCTCATGATGTAGCTCAGGCTAGCCTCAAACTCACCACCCTTCTGCCTCAGCCTCCCAGTGCTTGGATTGCAGGCATGTACCACCACACCTGGCTTCATCTTCTGTACACACACACACATACACGATACCATATATGATATTTCCTTTAAAAGATATTAGAAATTAGCAGACATAAAGGTTCATTTTTAAGGTATTGGTAATAAACACTACTACATTAGAAGCAGATTATCTCTAGTTGTAAAGAACTCAACACTTAATGAGTGTGTGCTGGCCATTTTCCCTCCATAGACATTTACCGGAAATGAAGACAATATACATTTTATGTTAGTAGTAGCTTTGTTTCTTAAAACTATTCATAAAATAAGTTGTGCTCTTTTCCTCTGGAAAGGAAAACCCATTTTCTAATGCTATCCATGTTTCTGAGATTAACACTTTAGTTACCCTTGTATATACTTACTAGGCCATTGTTCTGATCTCTGGGCAAACTCGGTTTTATTGATGAACGTGAGATGAGATGTTGGGAACTGCCAGGGTAATACCTTGGCGTGTAAAGGTATGGGGCAAAGAATGGCTATGGAGAAATACTTAACAAAAAAAGGGCGTGAACAATTACAGAAATTAAAGTGTGATGCGATTCATCAAATGAAACTAACCAATCAAATACAATTCCAAAATTTTTAAAACAAGTGACAAAACAAAAGAATAAAGAAACCTCCCTCATATTCTGTAAGATAGCAAACCCAAACTTAAGATATATTATTCACGTTTTTATATTGTTCATTTAATATAAGCTTGTTTTTTTAAAGCAACTAACATTTTGCACCATACATTTTGACACAAATGTTTCCCTTTACACTTTACATATTTATAAGCTTGGTGTATGTGAGTTTCTAAGTGATCTGCACATATTAAGCCATAGTCTCTTTTTAAAAAGCAGTCTGCACTCTTACTAAAATACTATTCCTTACAAATAAAGAATGATTTAAATCAGAACCAAAAAGTTTGGATCACATGGGAACACCCCAGCTAGAATTCCAGGAGTTTATCCTGATACTCTACAGAGTGCACTCTATACCTTAAATGAGCAAATGTAACTAGCACGGGAAGCCACTGATTACATAGGACTTACAACTAACTGTAGCATTTACTTCTAACCAGCCTCATATACCAGATTATATGGGCTAAGTATATAGCAGTAGACTATGAGGTAGCAACTTCTTTCACCTGTTTTACCCCTGACAGTTTAAGAGAGTTAGGCTGCTTTTACCAGAAGACTAAAAATCTTAAAGATATATAGCAAAAAATCACTGGAGCTAAGAACAAGAGAAAATTTAAAAATTTAAAAAACACTAAAATGCAATTAAAGCATTATCTTGTTAGTGTTATTCATGAAATTAGTGGACACACATCTCAGCCTAGAAGGGCTGGCAATAAATGTGTTGTGCTCAAAACTTCGACTGGTGTTGTATAAAGCATCTTCGGTACAATTACAGCAGATTTTAAGTCTGGTAAATAAAAATCTGCATTTCACACATCTACCAAAAATATCATTTTATAAGGATAAAATACAAATGCTATTGTTCCACCTTTCTCCCTGGTCCAAATGGAAAAACAGAATACCATTCCTTCAGCTCTATGAGTGGTATATTTAGTTACTAATATGGCCAACATGTTTCAAAAACTAAAAACTCAATTTAAGTTCTGCAATTCTTTCTTTGCCACATTTATTCTAATCTACTCTTTCCTACCAGCTCATATGAAATTCATGTAGGCTAGGCAGCTGGCTTCAATGAATGCCAGCCCCTGTGTTTGCTTGAATTAAACTGAATAGGGAGACAACAAAATTAAGAAATTGCAATGCATCCAAGAGTACAGCTCCACAAAGCTAATACCGTGGTTCCTGCTCCATTTTCCTGTAAGAGATGTTAGCATTTAAGGTCATGAAAATGAGACTAGATACCTTCAGGTAACTGAACCTAACAGGGTCTGAAAATCACTGGTAATTGTGTTGTCACCTTTTATTTACCAAACTGTAGATGTGTATTAAGTAAACAATTATACATGACAATGTAAACTAAAATTCTAAGAATGGGTTATAGCAGTATTAACTGAGAACATCTGAGTCCTCCAAGCAGAACGTTCCTATTATTATCTCAAAGTTAAAAGACATAAATTATGTCTATATATAAGGAACTACTAAAAGAACTTAAGCTGATCATTAAAGTAAATGCCAATACAAATTACTGTATAAGATATGCCAAAAGAACAAACAAAAGAGAAATGGATTCCTTTAAAGCAAAGGATGGTTACTGCTGAACGTGTCATGAAAATAAATAGTAAAAACACCGCTAACATTCAGACACCTTAGAGCTCGAGAATATGCTAAAAAGTCAAAAGTCTTAATTTTAAAAAGATCATACCCTTTCCATTTTTCTATTTTAAAGTCAAAGTATAGCTTCGAAACAGTAATAGAATTCACAAGCAAAACACTTATGACCTCTCCTCGGAAGGAATTCTGGAAAGTAGAGATGCACCCCTCCTTACCCTGTTGTAGAAGGGATGCTGAGGGCCCGTCATGCCGCTGTAATAGCTGCTGTGAGGCTGCTGCGGTGACACCAGCGCCCCTGTGAATGGCCCGCTGAAGGACGTGGAGGAAGAGCAGACAGAAGGGGGCTGACTGCACCCTGCTGGGGCCCGAGGAGCAGCTGCATGCAGAGGGAGTGGGGGATACGCAAGGCCTCCTATGTTGATCTGCTCTCTTGCAGCGCGGACATCTGAGACATCCCAGCACACCCCAGAAGGCAAACGGGACAGTGGTGATTAGTGTAGCCACCTTTCTGGCCTGAGCTATGATTCAGAAACATAAATTGCATCACTCTTGCCAGGCATTCCAATTGCATTACAGAAGTTGACAGGAAATCTTGACACTCCATAGATTGTTTTGTGAAAAAAGTCCAACTATTATGATAAAAGTTTTTCTCACTATTTGAAAAGTCATCAATATCTGGATTCTTCTCTTCACTTACCAGACTATCCAACTCTAAAAACTCAAACCTGTCTAGCATTAGTACAAACAATGTGAACTAAAACTGTAGGCTTGCAAATTATAAGGCAAAGCCACCTCTGAACGACAGAGTCCACAGCCAAAAAAGCATCAGGTTTATGTGACGTTGTAACAGGTACCTGTAAAGAGAATGTGCTAGCAGCTATGGTTTTAAATTGCCACATACTGATTGTACTTATCTATGTGGAACAATGTGCGGCTTCAACAGATGCATATATTGTACAATTATCAAATCAGGGACATCAGCATACCCATCTCCTCAAACACTCATCATTTCCCTGTGCTGAGACCCTGGATGTCTCTATCCTCTGGATAGAGACACCTATTAAGAACAGAAGACTGCTGATAGGAGAATTACAATGGATTGGCATCTGAAAATCATAACCATATGTTAAGAGAGATCTGAGCTCAAACTTCCAAAGTAAGAATTTAGTGGGGTGATGAGGAGATTGTAATAAAGAGAATTTAACAGGCAGTATTTTCTTAACATTCCCAAAAAGGATGTCAAGACTCCTAGTTCTTAATTTCATTAATTCTCTTGTGGAATGTTTGGCTCAGATTTCTTTTCTCACTTTTCCCCACGGAGCATAGACACAACAAGACACTTCTGAGGACTTTAGAGAAGAAAAGCTGAGTTTACTCCTCACACCCACCTGCAATAATCTCCCGTAGTTTGGGATCTAGGTTTACAGTGCACGGCAGAAACGTCTTCACATCTCGAGCCACAAGAACTGGGGTCCTTGAAGAAAGAAACACTTCAAAATTTCTTTTATCTCCATCAATTTCAAGCAGTGGCTCAACATCTTTAGTTGTTGGAATATTCTTTGATATTCTTCAAATAAGAAATAGTGAAAAAAGTCAGTAGTCTTACTAGAAAGTCAAATGCTGCATAATTTAAAACCTGTTACTTATAAACATATTACACACCTTGCCTTCATTTAAAAATATTTTTAAAAGAAATAAAAATGTAGAATAGTGAAAAAATTACTAAAGTAACGATGAGTGAGGTAAGAACTATACTGCCTTTTAGTCGAGGCAAGGTTGGACTGGGAAACAGGAAGGAGAATAACACATACGCCCGATATGTCACATACTAGTGGTTACCGCTCAGTGATGAAGAGGTAAGGTATTACTGTCCAGACGAGGACAGTGGGCCTCACAAAAGTTTGCCCAAGGTCACACAGCCAGCAAAGACACCGAACAGTCCTGAAGCTCATGATTTTCAATATATGCTTACTACATAAACATATACATGACCAAACACAGTAGAGTAGACTGGGAAAAAATGTACACTTCTACCAAGCAGACACAATGACTACTAATACAGTGTATCCCTCAATTAATTTTATTTTTGCACTACTGGGCTTTGAACTCAGAGCCTCTGCACTAACACGTGAGCCATTTCCCAGTCCTTTTTGATTTAGTTATTTTTCAGGTAAGGTCTTCTGCTTCTGCCTGGGTCCAGCCTTGGAAGGAGACCCTTCTACCTCTGCCTCTCAAGCAGTTGGGATTGCAGGCATGAACCACCACACCTGCGTTGTTCTTCTGAGATAGAGTCTTGCTAACTTTTGCTCAGGTTGCCTTTGAACCACGATCCTTCTTTCTGTGCTCCCCAAGAAGCTGGTATTACAGGTGTGAGCCACAGTTGTATCAGTAACTCTTTTATTATGTGTAATTTCTTACATAGTTGAGTTCAAAGAGCTAGAAAACACTTTTGTATCAGCAGAGATTCTTGAATGTAAAATAAGTAATGTTCATTCATTTAAAACGTGGTAAGATGGTGAACTATATAAAATGGCTGTTTCTGCAAGTCAAAACTGTCAAATGCTGACAATTTCCCTTGATTCACCCTATTAGATCCAGGCAATGTGCTGACTTGAGGCTGCAAACAAGAGGACTGGGGTGTGGCTCAAGTGCTAAAGCACCTGCCTGGCAAGCAAGAGGCCCTCAGTACAAACCACAGTATCACAAAAAAAAAGAAAAAACGAGAGCTAAAAGGATGAAAAACACGAAAGAGAAGTTAAAAGACGGCAGGTAGATGTGAAAACTGTTGACAACACAGTCCACCAACAGATGCATGGATAACTGCGTGATGATACATCCACACAGAAATAAAGAGTAAACTACTGATACACACAGTAATGTGCATGAGTCTCATGATAAACCCCTGAGGGACAGAATCCAGCCGACAGAGGGTGCTCAGTGCGTTTCTTTTTCATTTATATACAACTGGAAATGCAAACCAATTTATAGATGCGTTAATGTTGCCTGTAACACTGGGGATGTGGAGAACAGGGCCACAAAGACGGAGTGAGTACAAGGAGGAAACTTGTGGAGGCGATATGTATCCTCACACTCCTGATCGGGATGATGATTTTCTGGACACACTTGTGAAACTGCACAAGTTAAATATGGCAGTTACTCTATGTTAGTTATTCCTCAAAAAGCTATTTTGTAGTTGTTGGAGCTGTCTTCAGAACACGTTCCAATTACTCAAGAATATGTGAGCACCATCCTAGAGGACTGGTAAGACTTTCAGAAGGGAAATGAGAATGTTACTTTAATAGTAGTAGCATTACATTACATTGTTTCTTTGGGACCAGCTCATTACTGCTGAGACCCAGTTCTTGGATGGTAGCCAAAAATTAAAAGTCACCTAAGGGGGTTGGGGATTTAGCTCAGTGGAAGAGCGCTTGCCTGGCAAGTGCAAGGCCCTAAGTTCGGTCCCCAGCACCGGGAAAAAAAAAAAGGAAAAGTCACCTAAGGGAAAATCCAGAGAACAAAATTATCAAACAAGAAAAGAAAAGGGTGCTGATGAGAAAACAAGGACTGCAGTTTGTCTTTATGGATTTCAGGAAGTCATCTTACAGACTCACACACATGGACTAAACAGGAAAGTTCTCTGAAATAGGATTAACCACAATAAAGTAAAATGGCATTCACATTGATTATTAAACATATTTAAACTAAGATGGAAAACCTGGAGAATTACTGTGCAGCATCACTTGCACAAGTGGTCAGGCTATATCAGACCTGAAACAGTTAAAAAGGTAGTTCCTCTATTTCAGGAATTTAACATAAGAGAGAGGCTGGAAAGATTTAGATAAAAACACACAGCTGACAAGTCACATGAAACAAATTAACTGAATCTTAATGCCCCCACTGCTTGAGCCTGAATACCAGCAGTGTTCTCAACACCAGGACGGTGCTGCCGCTCACAAGCCAACGTCTGCACTGGCTTCCAGACTGAAGTCTCTATTCCAACCTTCTGAGCTCAGCGCATTGAACTCTTCCACTAAAAGACGTATTTATGTAAATGATCATCTTTGGCAGTGGGCCACCAAAATCATATGGGCCTTTATTTTTCAGATATTTTTCCAAAGGTTAGCATTTAAGGAATTTAAGTAACTTCACTTCTCAATTTAGAGTGAATTTAAATTTCCAGTATTATGAATCATGTGAACTAAAGTTGCCAGCAGTTAAATGGCCCACGGAAAGCACTTTAAAACCTCAGGCTTCTATGAGCTCCCAGTAAGTGTCAAAATGATTTCTTTCTATGCTACCAATTGAGAAGCACTCCTTAATGCTAACATCAATGTAAATTAAAGCATTTTGATTAGAAACCACAGTGGTTTGTAGAAAGTCTGTAGTAATTCTTTAGCAGAAATGACATATGCCATTCATACCACTTCATTCACAAGGAGAATTTAAATCACACAGAAAATGTTCTATTTTAAATTAAAACATAAGAGGATTCTTAAGAGCATAACATATGCAGAAGGCATTATTTATCATACTTTTTCTGAAGTAGCTGCCCAGTAATGCCATTATGTAGCAGGTTAAAATTAAGAAGAATATTCTCCCCCTCCTCAACAGTGCTGATGATCAAACCCAGGCAACCACTAGGCAACCATTCCACCATTGAATTACATACACCTTTAGCCCAAATTTTCTTTAACAACTCTTCATTGCTAATTTTATTACTTTCATACAGTTGTGGGTTTTTTTTTTTGGTTGTTTATTTTGTTTTAATTTTGTTTTTGTAATGGTGTTTGAACTCAGGGCATGGTGCTTGGTAGGCAGGCACCCTACCACTTGAGCCATGCCCCCAGCACTTTTTTGCTTTATAAGGGTCTCATGTTTATGTTTCCTTGAAACAAATTTAAGTTCTAGTAGTCTTTCAGATACTTTCCACAACAGTTTGCCCACTTACTAATTGTCCTCTATGCACAGAAAACCTTGTATACAGAAGAGAGTCACTCTGCGCTGTAGCCAAAGGGTCAGAAATAAATGGTAACACAAAATAATTTTTATGCCCTATATTCTCTAGGGAAACACAACCACAGACACTCTTTCCTGTCTTCAACCAGTTAATTCCCAAAAATCCTTTGTACTCTGCAGTTTTCCCCTCCACCTCTTCCAAAAGAATCTTTTTTTTCTTTTTTGGCAGAACTGGAGTTTGAACTCAGGACTTCTCCCTTGCAAAGCAGGCTGAGCCACTCCTCTAGTCCATCTTGCTCTGGTTATTTTGGAGATGTGGTCTCAACAACTATTTTCCCAGGCTGATTTTGAACCTCAATGCCAGTGATCTCAGCCTCCCAAACAGCTAGGATTACAGGCATTAGCCACCAGCACCCAGCAAGAATCTACTCTTTTAGAATAAAATATTTTCCACTCTATCTTCTCAGATGTTGACAAAACCTTGGGCTTGAGAAAGAGTAGCTCAATTCATTTTGACTTAATTTTTGTACATTGTGTGAGACAGGGGTCCAGTTTCATTCTTTTCTTCATGTGGAAATCAACTTGTCCCACCACCATTTGTTGAAGACACTATCCTGGTCCTACTGAATAGACTTGGTACTCTCATGGAAACTCAACTAGCCATAGACATTCGGGTTCATTTCCAGACTTGCAACTCTACTTGATTGGTGGATATGATATCCTTATGCCAGTGCCACACTGTTTTGGTTACTGTAGCTTTGTAATAAATTCTAAAACTGGAAAGTGTGTGCTTCTAATTTTGCTCTTCTCTCTCAGGAATGTTTTGGTTACTTGAGGTATACCTTAAAATTTCACATGAATTTGAAGATCAGCTTTCCCTATTTTTTTAAAGCTATTGGGATTGTGATGGTGTTTCCCCTGACTCTGTAGATTATTTTGGGTAATACTGACATTGTAATATTTAGATTTTCCAATCTCCTCAGGAAAACTTACTAAATTTATTCCTAGGTATTATATTGTTAAATGTGACTGTAAACAGAATCGTCTTAATTTTCTTTCAGATTATCCATAGCAGTGAATAGAAACAACACTGATTTTTTTTTTTTTGTGCTGAATTTATCCTGCAAACTTTGTGAACTTACTAGTTCTAGTAGCTTTCTGGTACGTTCTTTGAAATTTTCTATAAGTAGGATCATGTCATTTGTGATTAGAAAAATTTACTGATTCTTATCCAATTTCCTGTCTACTTGCTCTAGCTAGAACTTGAGTACAATACTGCATAGCAGTGGGGAAGAAAGAGCTCAGGCTGCTATAACATTATACCTACACTGGGTGGCTTAAATAGGACATGTTGCTTTCTCAAGTCTAGAGATCCAGGAAATCTGAGATGTACCAGATGGTCAAGTATGGGGCACAAGCTTTTTTGGTCTGCAGAGAACTAAGTCTTTCTTCTTGCTGTGTCTTCATATAGCAGAGCCACTCTGATCTCTTCTTGGAAGAGCACTAATCCCATCAGGAGAAGTCTACCTAATGACCTTATCTAAACCTAATTGCTTTCCAAACTTCCAACTCCAAATACATTAGGACTAGGGCTTTAACATATATATATTA